ATAAAATACTCTCATAGAGAGATTTCCCAATAGTATATCAAAGCCTAATTAGCATCAAGAAGAGTTGGGTGTTTAATAAAAGCCAGTATGTAACAAAGAACTAACATGATCATCTTTAGTTATTAAACTTCTCTTTCTACTAAATTAAGGCCAAGCTTAAATAGTTACCAATTAGGTTTGAAAAGCACCTCTTAAAAAGACTTGGATTCCTTTTTGGCTGGAAGTGTTCTGAGAAAGGTCTCACTTCCAGTGAAGTGTGAGGGGTATCTCAGACAAAAGGTGTTTCATGTATGTTGGCAGGCAATGACAACTGACTTGCTGGTAAATGAACATAATTTCTAAGGGTACTTTCCAAAGATACACATGTCTAATATATTCACCATAAGCTTTAGATTCTTTTAATTAGTTCTATATAGAGTTTCAGGTTTTCTTTCATAGAGCAAATCTTATTAGTGAATTTCTTCTTTAAAAAGTCAAACTGTTAGCTGTTATTTAAGTTTGTTATTTAAAATTGTTTTATTTATTACTGTGATAAATCTGTCATTCCATAAACTAAGTAAATAATTAATGCATTTTTAAAACGGTGGCCATGGTAGACTCTGAGCATGGCCACAAGCACAGGGACAGAGCCTGCCTCATGCTTAGAAAAGATAAGCAGTAACCCCCCCAGGCCTATGAAACTTGTGTAGAAAGCAGGCAGAGGTCAGATTAGTGGATGACAGTGGCAGGTGGTTAAATGCCTTCCTATTTAAGTAGAGTAGTCACATGAGAATGGAATTTCTGCTTGGGGAACTGGAAAGGTAGGACAGTGGGGGAAGGGAGTCACATTTCTTTCACAGGATAGGTGCTATATCAGAGTATGAAGTGAAAGCCATTAATAGATCATCTTTTCTAGTACTCCTGGCAACTTACCTTCAAGAGTCTCCTCACTATTGCTGGGCTCCTACCTATAGATAGCTAATCTACTTTTAATAGTGTATAAATACCTGGATTCCATCTTTTTCTTCTCAGATTTTTATTTTTATTTATTTATTTTCCTATCTTGAACGCTTTGTTCTTCTTTTTTTTTTTTTTTTTTTTTTTTCCGTGGTGAACAGGTTTTATTTAGATAGAGTTTTCACGGCAAAGGGAAACAAAAGAGATGGATAAACAAAATCTTTTCCCTAATACATAGTTCAGGTAACATTTTCGAATGTCTCATCTCTGGTTCCAACCAAACCACTGCAGAACATCTAAAAGTACAGCATCTGAATCCATAAATTTCCAATCTCATTCCTGGGGAAAGTGTAGAGTAGTAGCTGGTATTATTGGAACATATTAAAAATTTGGGGATTTTATCACTGTGGGAGAAATGACTTTTCCAACTCTCTTTTGCCATTCAGGTCTTCAACAATGACCTGCCTCTCAAATATTCCTCTCCAGCTGAAGTTACCCAACCTTCTAAGACAACTAATTAGCCAAGGACCAATCACCTGAGGGCTAAAGTAATTATCAAGACTATATCAACTTGTTCCATGTATTAAATTAGATCACTGGAAAGCTACAGATCCCAAGTTACGGCCTTCTCACTGCATGACTTAATACTCTGTTGTTGAACTTTGAAGTTTAATGGTAAAGATATAGCCATATGGAAAACATTGCATAAAACAACTGTGACATATAACTGCTTACTAGATAATCGGATGTCAAGAATATTAAGATATAAGAATTGTTGAAAGACAATACCTTAAAACCTTTTTTTTTCTAACGAGCTGGTACAAACCTTGTCTTAAGTAATGCAATCCATGTAACTCCTTACATTTCTTCTTTTGTCTTATTTTCTAATATTAACTGCAATTGCAGCAATCATCTTTACCTTAATTTTTCTGGAACACATATTTTACCCAACTGTTACTTGTATTAATTCTTATTTTAATGGTTCTTTTATATTTTTATTGGTTTTGATGAAGCCAGATCAAATCTAATTTGGATTTAGAAAGGTATAAATAATAGATAAAACCTGCCTACTTTCTTCTATGTTGTCTTTGAAAGTTGATGGAGGGTTATTTTTTTAATTAGAGTATTTTTCACATCAGGAAAACAAAATTAGCTAGGTGTCTGGGTTAGGATGGGGTATCATGGGTATAGCAGAGAAAGAATGGAATAGTTCACTCTAACTTACACAGAGAGAGAATGGAATAGTTCACTCTAACTTACGCAGAGAGAGAATGGAATAGTTCACTCTAACTTACGCAGAGAGAGAATGGAATAGTTCACTCTAACTTAGGCCAAGATTGATTTTCTGAAATGGCTTTGGAAATATGCTACCTTTCCAACACTATAGCTCCCTCTTCGGCATTGAAAAGTCTTAGGTTAACTTTATAAAAAGGTGACTTATACTCCTGGTTTAACAACAGCCTGTATATATATATATATCTTTTGGGATTACTTTGCAGATGGGACATAGGTAAAAAAGCATGGACTGAAGTGAGGAGAAGATGAATGACAAGGGTGTGAACCCTCAGGCACCATTATTTTAGATGGTCTTTCAGTGATCAGTGACTATGATGAGGAAACAGTCTTAGCAGTGAGAGAGGTCTTAGAGAAGATTTAGGTTCTCGTTTCTTTTGTGTGTGTGTGTGTGTGTCTGTGTGTGTGTGTGATAGAGTTTTGCTCCTGTCACCCAGGCTGGAGTGCAGTAGCGTGGTCTCGACTCACTGCAACCTCCGCCTCTGGGGTTCAGCGCTTCTTGTGCCTCAGCCTCCTAAGTGGCTGGGACTACGGGCACCCACCACCACGCCTGGCTAATTTTTATATTTTAATAGAGACAAGGTTTCACCATGTTGGCCAAGCTGGTCTCCAACTCCTGACCTCAGGTGATCCACCCGCCTCGGCCTCCCAAAATGCTGGGATTACAGGCGTGAGCTACCACGCTTGGCCTAGGTTCTCCTGTTTCTCTTTCTTCCTTTGCGGCCAGGCTCTTCTCAGATTTTTAAATCCAACTGTAAAACCAAAAGGTGTTTTGTGTTGAGAATAAATAGGTGATTTTCATGCAGTCTTTTTTTTTAAGTTCTGTATATTTTATATGTAAGTAATAATGTGGCATGTTAGGGAATAAAAATATCAAAGACCAAACAAACTGGCCTCACAGATTTTGAGACTGAGATCAATCCCATGGCCTTAGATAATTAACAAAATAATCCAGTCTTTTAAAAATGCTGTTTTCACCTTTGGAAATACCAGAGTTGTGGTTTACTACTTCTAGTATAGAATTATATTGAAAAGACCTTCCTTTCACTATTGATTAATTTTGTTTTTGATCTAAGAAATAAGATTAGGTACTATGTACTGTACCTGTACAGATCTTTAGGAATAAATCAAGACTCTTCAGTCTTTTATAGAATTTGCAAAAACTACTACATCTTGTCATTTACCTTTTTACTTTCTCTGAAAACTCAACACACTCTATCCAGAACATCATGCTAATTAATAAACTGCAAAATGCAGATTGAGATATGGGAGAAAGATCTGGGAGCAAGATCCAGAATGGCTCACTGGTGGCAGATTGGTACTGTCATCCTTTTTGGCAACTTCCTTCACAAAGCCAGAAGTAGATGCAGCCTCCAGATCAAAATGGTGTGCACAAACCCCATTTTTTTTTTCCAAAAGAAGTCAAATGACAACTGGCAACATCTGATGATTTAGGTTATATAAAGCAAGGACTAAATCATGGAAAGAGGAGGACCAGCGAGATAAAAAAAGGAAATCATCTTGATGCTTTAAAATTATAGGATCAAGGTACCTATCAAGAACATGTAAGTAAAATATGGCCTTTATTTATTAATGGGGAAGACCCAAATAAATTAAGAGTTCTTTAAAAACAAAAAATTAAAAATTTACCAAGAGGAAGTAAATAGAAAAATGACTCCTGTTTACATATAAAAAAAAGACAACCAAGATGATTTAGAGTTCTTCCACTAAAGAGGATATTTTGGGTCTACAGTTTAGCTAGGGATAAGAAATCAAGGAGCTATCCTGGCACTCCTCTCCTACATTTAAATTAAACCCTTAAAAGGTTCCTCTTTCTCTCAAAGAAAAGCACCTAATGAGGTAATCCTTTAGATATTTCTACGTGCACAACTGGATGTGATAATCAAGGGATGCCTCTTTAAGTCATCTAATTTTTTAGCTTAAGCCAAATATAGAGTATTTGGAACAGACATTTTGGGTGAGGACCTGGATTCTGTTGGTATTAAGAGTTCTGGAATTGCTGAGAATATACAGAGCATGACCCAAACTGACTGAGGCCTATCCTACTCTCAGTATGTGGAAGTAGCAAAATCATGACTGAATATCCAATAGGACAGATGAAAAACCCATCAAGTATATCAACCCCTAGGAGAAAAGCTGGTGTTTAAATAAAAATACATCCCTTTCCCCAGGAGTATCTGGATCTGCTATCAGAATGGACTTTTTTCAAAACTGTACATTAGCACAAGGTGATAAACCTACCAGATTTAAAAGTAGTGCCAATTGTGTCTAAAAAATCCACAAACCTCATGAGATATCTAGATAAGCAAAACCATTTGTCTTCATAAAAAGACCTAAAAAAGGTCCTATTTTCCACAAAACCAGATGGGCACACAGACCATGTCTCAGTCTGAGTCTGAAGCACTGAGATTTTCAGTTACTTCCTGAACTGATGCAATTAATGTTACTAATTCAAACCCCATTAATTTGAAATTTATAATTTTAGACTGTAGTGGATTCAAGTTTACCTATGGACTATCTATGAAAAAGGGAATTGGCTAAGTATTATAACAAGACCTAGCTGGGGTGTGGGTTGGGGAAAGCATGTGTTGTAACTTAAGAAAACTTTCCTTATATATTTCAAACCACCAAGCACTCATGCACTCATGCTAACAATTAAGCATCATTTTGATTTCCTTTTCAGGAAAACATTATATGTCTCCATTGGCAATAATGTTAGCTAATATTCCATGACTAAGCATACCTGAAAGTAAGATTTTCTTTTAATATATTCTGCAATTCAGTTACCTGCTGTATACCATCTCTCCATACCCTCAAAAGGGTCATTATTGACCACTGTGACAATATTTCCACTTCACTCTCACATTACAGCAGTTAGGATAGAAAATAGGGGCGGTCGATCATTAAGGAAAACAGACAGTAGAACCAGCTTAATATGTGTCTCACCTGAGAGGCAACATTTCTATAGTTAAATCCCATTTTAGAACAATAACATATTCTTTCTCTTGCCTACACTCTGTACTGCTTAATATGAACATATTGGTCACTTAATCAGTAAAGTAATTCCCTTCCAGACTTAAGTGGGGAGAGGGATGCCTTGGCTTCACTCACTTAAACCAATTGGAAAAGCAGCATAGCCCTCTCTGGGACAAGAATCATTGTAGCTGCTGTAGGTATACCTAGCATGGAAGATGAGTAACTAACTCACTGATGCTTGGAGTAGTCTGCCTCCTTGGTGCTGGCCTTGGAGATGCCTGTGTCCCCCAAGATGCCCATGTCCCCAGAGAAACCCCTGGCCTCAGAAATACCCATGTTTCCAGATATGTCAGTGGCCTCAGAGATATCCATGGCCCCACAGATTCCTAAGTCTTCGGAGAAGCCCATAGTCTCAAAGGTGCTCATGTCTCCAGAGATGCCCATGGCCTCAGAGATGCCTGTCCCTCCAGAGATGCCCACATCCCCAGAGATATTTATGGCCCTAAGGCTGCTCACAATCTCACAATGGTTATGGTGGAGGTCTGCACACTGGGTTTTTACTTGATCCATCTGAGCTCGGAGGCCTCCTTCCCTGGAGAGGGTGCCATTCTCCATCAAGGTACTCAGGTCTCCATCGATACCCATAAAGCCAAGAGGATTGGTCAAAGGACTTCCCAGATGCTGGGATAATAAGTTTCCTAATTGAGTGCAGGTACAGATCTCTTCTGGTGGCTCATCACGGGCTTTTAGTTTCTGCCTCAGGAGCAAGAAAGGGTTAAGAAGAATTAGAAACAGGAGAAAAACTAGACAAACATCACCTTCATCTGCAGAGATCCTATTGCTGTCACTTATAATGGTAGCAAATGACCTTTTGCTCGCCCCCTCCCCCACAACATCTTTCCCTCATCACATGCCATAGTACTTTAGAAGCCCTACCATTGAAGAATCTCAAAGGTCTTATATCTATAAAAGTCCTCTTTTATGATAAGTGCAATTTTGTTCATGGGATGGGGAGAGGGCGGGGGAATAGATCACTAATATTTATTGAATACTTCTATGTGCTAGGCACTTTACGCACAGTATTTCCGTTTATCCTTATAATAAACCTATTAGTTTAGGTATTAGCTATATTTTACAGATGAAGAAACTGAGGCTCAGAGAAGTTAAGTAAGTCACCCAAATTTGCACATGTACGAAGTAAACAACTAGGATCTGACCCTGCATCTACCTAACGCCAAAGTCTATGACCTGTCATCTACCTCATGCTACCTCTAACAGATATTTTCACTTTCAGAGATAATATAATGATTCACTGATACTTTACAACAGTGATTCTTTGGCGTCATAAGTCCCCATTGAAAACGTGATGAAAATTATGGACCTTCTCTTCAGAAAAATGCATACATTTTTCTGAAGGTGATGGGGGGAGTCTTTTAAATTTTCATTTTGTACCTTATTATATTCTGTATTTTCTAACTTTACACTTGTATTGTCTTTTAAAAAAAGTAAACAGGGTTATCTGGGTGATACTATCAGCCATTTTTGTTTTTCTGCTCTGTATTAAAAAAAGAAAGCTAATAACACACATACATAACAACACATACACACTTCAAAAAGAAGTCTTTCCAGAGTGATCTGAGTCTATTTGAAATGAATCTGATTCTCTCTCAGGAGTCAGGCAGGGATAAGTGAAAGGGCTGGGTCAAGAATAGGGCACCTTCCCTGAGGGCCTTGTGGAAGAATCTGCTAGTAGCTAAAAGAGGAGCCCTAAGAAGTAGTTTCTCTACTACATCTAATCTACTTAAGACTGGGCCTTCTCGGGGATGCATGCTTCCTATGATTTTAAGTTATGCTTTAGTTCGCCCTCCCACCTTTTTTTAAAAATGGAACCAAGTAACTGGCTGTTGCCTCCCAAGAGGACATTAAAAAGTTTGGGATCTGATGTAATCACAACACATTTATTTTCACAATAAAATGACATTTGTTTACTTACAGGAAGCAGAAAAGCTATGCCTTATCTGGCTTAAAGTGGGTTCACATCCAGTTCCTAAATAGCACACCATTTCCAATAATTCTTTTCTAAGAGGTACCTTTCTCCTGTCCTTCAAACAAACCCTTAGGGATCCCTACATTTCATAAGCAGCTCAGTTTATGAAATTAACAAGAAATAATTTTTGAGTTCTGTAACCTGTAATTAAAAAACAAGTGTCCAACATGGTCACTCAATAAGCTGAGTTTGCAGTCTACATGGGAAGGAAATAAGAACCTTCTTTTATAAGATTTTTAATTGGAAAACAGCAATTGCACTGTTCTTATCAGTATACCCAAGATGTTATATTTATTCTCTTGATGGATAACAAATGCTATGTGATTTCCCTAGTCATTCCCTCTTGTTCCTCCTACTCATTCCATCCAGATCCAAAAAGAGATAAAGAGAACAACTTTACTTGTTTATCTAGATGAGTGACATATTTACCACATTTTGGGAAGTAAGAAAAGGAGTTATGCTGAAAGCTTTGTAGACACGGGACACATGAAAAGCCAAAGAGTATAAAAAAGCCAGTCAGGGAGCTTTCCACAAGTATCAATTCAACTCCAAGCAGGCTGGACCTACCCAGAATGGGCAAGAAGATCTCTCTTTGGGACTTTTCTCCTCACCTTTTCTAGTTCATGCACATCTGTCTCCAGCATTGCTCTCTGTTTCTTAATTTCCAGGAGGTTCTCTAGTATACTCTGCTTGGCCTGCAGCCCTTTGTCAAAGCGGTTATACATCCCACACCAGAACCTCAAATAGACAAAAAGGGTGGGGGGGGGGAGTGGGTTAGTTTAGCTGGAGTGATTGATTACCAATGTTTTCCTTGTGCCAAGAAAATATTAGCCTAGTAGGTGGGAAGATCTCATGAGTACTGTAATTTGATGACATTAAAAAGAATGGACATGCTCATAATTGGAAAGAGTAAAGATACCAGCAGAAAAATCTCAGGTAAAGGAGACACTTTAGACTTTAGCAAACTTGAGGTTCTTTTAAACAATCAAATTATGCTTTTACTTTGAGATAATTATAGACTCACATGTAGTTTTATGAAATAATAAGGGAGAGGAGTGACATCACCAAGATGGCAGAATAGGAAGCCCTGGACTCTCCTTCCCCCAATGGATACACTAATTTAATTGCGACACAAGGATCAATTCCCTTTATGAGAAATCCAGCAACTCATGGAGAGGCTTCTGCAGCCTGGATAAGTATGAAACCAACCAGATTGTAAATAAAACATCTGTAGAAGAAGCAGAAACATCCACTCATCATAATCCCTACTCCCAGCACAGTGCCATAGGATCAGGAGGAAACCCCCATTCCCAGCTTCTACCTCAGAATGGAAGAAGCTGGACTGCTCATCTAACATCCCAACTTCTCCAGGTGCCACCTGAAAGACCGGCTTCTTTCTCACCTATTTCAAAGAGTTGAAAGGGTCTGGCATGTGATAGTATCCGGAGGGCTACAGAGAAGAAAGTGGCAGTTTCAACTAGCATGTAGGCATGTACCACAGCTCCTGTACCTGGCTCAACACAGGGTAGGGGGAAAATCCCAGTTCCCAGCTTCTCCCTGGGAAGGGGAAAAGTTGGAACATGCACCCAGCATTCTAAATTCTCCAGGATCTACCAAGGGAATGGCTTTTGTGCCACCTGTCTAGGAGCATTGATGAAACTGGACATACTCTGGATGCCTGGGGGACACTAATAACAAAGACAGCAGTTTAAACTAGGACAATGGGTTGAAAGGCCCACAGAAGCTCTGGCTTGGTTGGCTGGTGAATGTCTTCTCCTATACAAGGCCAATTCATATGACTGGGAGTGATAGTGGATTTTTCTAATGTGGAGAAAAAGGGTAACACAATCTGAACAAAGAAAGAAGCTAAAACTCCAGAAACTGACTCTAATGAAAATATATGAATGACCTGACATAGAACTCAAAGTATCCCTCATGGAAAATCTCAACAAGCTCAGGAGAACAATCCATAAACAAAGTGAAAATTTCAACAAAGAGACAGAAAATATAAAAGAATAGGCAGATGTCTTAAAGCTGAAGAATACAATAACTGAAGTAAAGAATCCAATAGAGGAGTTCAACAACAGACTAGAGCAAGCAGAAAAAAGACTAAGCAGACTCAAACACAGATTATTTGTCATTATCCAGTCAGAGGGACACAAAGCAAAAAGAATAAAAAAATAAATAAAATAGCTTAAGGGACCTATGGGACACCATTAATTAGCAGACCAATATATGCATTATGGGAGTCCCAAGAGAAGATAGGAAGGACTAGAAATCTTATTTAAAGAAATAATGACTGAAAACTCTCTAAATCTGGGGTAGGAAATGGATATCCAGATCTAGGAAGCCAAAATGACCCAAATACGATGAATCTAAAGAAATCCACACTGAGACATATGATAATCAAATTGTCAAAAGTCAAAAACAGAATTTTGAAAGCAGTAAGATAAAACCAACTTGTCATATGCAGGAAAATCCATTAGGACCATCAGCAGACATCTCAGCAAAAAAAACTTTCAGGTCAGAATAGAGTAGAGAGTGGGATAATATATTCAAAGAGCTGAAGGAAAACTAAAACTATGAACCAATAATGATATATGTAGCAAAACTGTTCTTCAAAAACTAAAGAGAGAACACGACTTTCCCAGACAAACAAAAGCTAAGAGAGTTCTTTACCACTAGACCTGCCTCACAGGAAATCTAAAGGGAAGTCTTCTCTTTAGATTGAAAGGGAAATGAAAATGAAAACAAAAATGAAAGAATGCTAAATAGCAACACAGTAGCATAAAAAAGTATAAAAGTTGTTGGTGAAGGTAAGTATATAAACTAATAAAGAATACTATATTACTGTAATGATTGTGGGTAAGTCACTTTTAATTGTAGTATAAAGTTTTTAAAAAGTATTAACATAATTATAAAGTATGCCAATGAATATACAATATAAATAGATGTAAACTTTGACATGAATAACATAAGGGAGAAGAAGAAAACGTGTAATGTGTGCATAATTGAAGTTAAGTTGTTACTTGTTTAAGACAAGAGTGTTAGACTGTTAGATATTTTATGTAAGCCCCATGGTAGCTACAAAGGAAATACCTACAGAAGTTAAAAAAAAAAAAAAAAAGTGAAACAAATCAAAGCATAAACTAAACAAACAAACAAAACAAACAAAACATAAAGGAATAGAGCAAGAAATGAAAAGAGGAACAACAACAAAATCCCTACAAGGCAAACAGAAAACAATGAACAAAATGGCAACAGTAAATCATCCCCTATCAATAATTACTTGAAATATATTCATAGATTAAACTCCTCAATAAAAATACACAGAAAGACTGAATAGTTTAAGAAAAACATCCTATTATATGCTGTCTATAAGAGATTCACTTTAGATTTAAGGGCATACATAGACTGAAAGTGAAGGGATAAAAAAAGATATTCCATGCAAATTGTAACTTAGAAAAAGAAAAAATGCACGTGTGGCAATAGTAATATCAGACAAAATGAACTTTAAGTCAAAAAATGTCATTGAGACAATGAAGAATTTTATATAATTATGGAAGAATCAATACACCAGGAAAATATAACAATTATAAATATATATGCATTCAACATCAGAGTACCTAAATATGTAAAGCAAACACTGATGGAACTGATGGGAGAAACAGACAAAAATACAGTAATAGATTACTTTAATACTCTACTTTCAATTATGGATAGAACAATCAGAGAAAGAAATCAAAAAACAAATAGCAGACTTGAACAACTCTATGGAACAAATGGACCTAATAGATATACAGAATATTCAACCCAGTAACAGTACAATACACATTCTTTTCAAAAGTACATGTAACATTCTTCAAGGTAGATCACATGTTAGGTCATAAAATAGAGCTTATCAAATTTAAGAAGATTAAAATCATACCAAGTATTTTTTTCTGTTCACAATGGAATGAAACTAGAAATCAATAGCATAAAGGAAACCTAGAAAGTTAAAAAATATATGGAAATTAAAAAAACACACTCTTAAACAACCAGTGGGTCAAAGAAGAAATCAAAAGGGAAATTGGAAATTATCTTGAAACAAACAAAACCGCAACATACCAAAATATGTAGGATGCAGCAAAGGCAGTACTAAGAAGGAAATTTATAAGCACAGCTATTACAGAAAACGGTATGGAGGTTCGACAAAAAATTAAAAATGGAAGTACCATATGATCCAGCAATCCCACTTCTGGGTAGAGGAACTGAAATCAGTATTTTGAAAAAATATCTGCACTCTCATGTTCATTCTGGCATTATTCACAAAAGTCAAGATATGGACTCAACCTAAGAGTCCATCAATAGATGACTGAATAAAGAAAATGTGATATATATACATAATGGAATACTATTCTACCTTAAAAAAGAAATAAATGCTGTCATTTGTGACAACATAGATGGAACTGGAGGACACTATGTAAGTGAAATAAGCCAGACACAGAAAGACAAAAACTCTGTTCTCACTTATACGTGGAAGCTAGAACAATCAAACTCATAGAAACAGAGAGTAAAATTGTGGTTATCAGAGGTTGAGATAGGAGAGAATGGGGAGATGCTGGCCAAAGGGTAGAAAGATGCAGTTAGATAAAAGGAGTGAGTTTTTGAGGTCTTCTGCCCAGCATGCTGACCATGGTTGACAATAATGTATTGTATATTTCAAAATTGAAGAGAGTAAATTTCAACTGTCTCACCACAAAAAATGATGGCTAAATGAGGTGATGGATATGCTAATTAGCTTGATTTAATCATTCCTCATTTTATTAATATATCAAAACATCACACTGTACACCTGAAATATATACAATTATGACTGGGCAATTAAAAATATTAATAAAAAGAGAAATTTATAGTGATAAATTATAGTGATAATTTATAGTGATACTAAAAAAGAAGAAAGATCTAAAATGAAAAACCTAACTTTATATCTCAGGAACTAGGAAAAGAACAAACTAGCCCAAAAGTAGTGGAGGAACAAATAATAAAGACTAGAGAAAAAATAAAAGAACTAGTGAATATAAAATCAAAGAAGCTAAGAGGTGAAGCCAGATGCAGTGGCTCACTCTTATAATCCCAGCACCTTGGGAGGCCAAGGCAGGAGAATTGTTTGAGGCCAGAAGTTCAAGACCAGCCTGGACTACACAGAGAAACCCTACCTCTACAAAAAAATTTAGAAAATAGCACATGCTTGTAGTCCCAGCAACTTGGGAGCTGAGTTTGAAGGACTGCTTGAGCCTTGTCCTGTCTGCAGCCAGGCCAGCAGAGTGAGTCTCTGTAAAACAAACAAACAAACAAACAAAGAAACTAAGACGTGTTTATTTTTCAGAAAAAAAATTCCAAAATTGATAAAACTTTAGCTAGACTAATAAATAAAATCAGAAATGAAAAAGGAGACATTACAACTGATGTAACAAAAATTTAAAAGATCATAAAGACAACAATGTACCAATAAATTGGATAACCTAGAATAAATGGATAAATCCCTAGAAACATACAACCTACCAAGACTGAATCACAAAGAAAAACTGAACAGACTAATATTGACTAAAGAAATTGAATCAGGAATCAAAAACCTCCCAGCAAAGAAAAGCCCAGGGCTAGAGGCTTCACTGAAGAATTCTCCCAAATATTTAAAGAATTAATGCTTTTTAAATTGTGTCTATTTGATTCTTCTCTCTTTTCTTCTTTATTAGTCT